GAGGCCAACTCATCCCATTTTGGCCTCCTGGTACGAGTGCCTGCCCCTAATAGAGCAATGTTCGAATCCCCCTTGGACACTTAAAGCCCAAGGCACAGACTTAAAATTAGTGCCTGGGCCCATCAACTTCTTCAGGCCTGCCTGGACCTGGAGTAGCGGGACGGGTCTGGGGCCTTCTCAGCCCCTCCTCTCCTCCATTCTTGTGCCCCAGGAAGGCCTTCCCCAACCCTCCTCTGGCCACTGGGTCCCCACGTTTGGGCTTCATTTTTGTCTCCAGTTTGTGCTACTCTTTCTTCATCCAAAAAGGCGTTGGAGATTCCGAGAATCTGCTGCAGCTTGGAAGCCAGAATCTTAGAGAATCTCGGATACTCCTCACCCCATTCCTTTGATTTTACACCTAGAAATGGTGTAAAAAGGCCCAGTGGCTCGCGGAAGGTCGCACAGAAGGCCACTGACAGGGCAGCGATCGGGACAGCCACCGTGGTGGGCGAGGCATCCGGGGCTTCCTTTTCTCTGGTCCACGAACTCCCAACTCCGAACGCGGTGGGACTGCATGGGCCTCTGCCCGGGTCAATGAAATGCGCTGCCAAGAGGAGGCTGCGGCGCGGCCCTGAGACCTGATCTCCACAGGCCGGAGAGTTCTCTACTGGCCGCGGCCCGACCTCCCGGGAAATGGGACCAGAGCGCGGAGGGAGCCTGGCCAGGAGGCCTCCTAGGACCCAGCCGCGACGCTGAAAAGCATGAAGGGTCGGAATTAGGCACTCATTTAGCGAGCGTTACTAATCCGAAGTTACAGCGCTAATTCCCTGATCCGGCCGCTCCCACACGCAGCGCCGGGATTAGAGGCGCGGCCGCCGCCCGCCCCGCCCTCACACCCCAAACGCGCCCGCCCTGCGCCCTCGAGGCTTCGGGCTCAGGGCTAATCCGCCGCGCCGCGCCGCGCCGCGCTTGCCTGGCCCGAGCGCGCGGCGGGTCGGGCTCGGCCAGCTGGGGCGAGCCGGCCTGTTCGCTGACTCAGGCGCCCGGGTCCGGGCTGGGCAAGGAGCGCTTGGCCTCGAGTCACTGGACAGCCCAGGCGGGACGGATGCGCCCTCCAGGGCCCAGGCGAGGCCGCGCGGTGGAGAACCGCCGGGATTTCTCCAACCCGCGTATGCGCACCCACAGCAGCGGCCTTTGGAGGCCGCGGCGCCATTTTAGTGGCCTTCCTTCCCCCTTGGCATCTGTCGTGTACGTTGTGGCTGGGTGTCCCCAGTTCCCCCATCCCGCCTTGACTTTGGCTGCCCGCTCCACCAGCCTGGATAGAGTGACCAATCAGCTCTGACCTAGGGTGGGATGCACGTCACCATGGCGACGGCTAGGGCGCCCTGGCGATGCTGCCCATCGTAGAGGGCGAGTCTTCACTCCGCCTGGATGGGTGTGAAGGGAAGGTGGGGACAGGTGCTGGGGAGGGGCGGACGGAGGCAGGCCGTGGCACCTCCTCCCCATTCCCACCCCATTTTGCCTACAGTCAGTTCAGCTGGGTCAGGCGGGGGACAAATGGATATTGTGGAAGGCGCCTGGGTAGGGGCCTGGGCTCGTTCTGGGGCGGCTTTTCCACGAGTCGTCTCATCCCCCGCAGGACCTAGCTCTGGTATAAAGGCTTATCTTGGTCTCTCATCCTCTTCTATGTCTCTCTGCCAAAGACAGTGGTGTTCAGGAGCCTCCAGACGCTTGCCCCTCATTTTTCTTGCTGTTAAGTGCTGTGATTTTAGACAAGTCGCTTTCCCTAGGTCTTAGTTTTTGCATCCAGAAGATGGGCTGCTGTGCAGGCTCATGCATGGAAAGCCTTGAGTGCACACTGGGTGCTCTTTCAGTGTTACAGCTCCTTCTCCCTTAGCAGGGAGTGCAAGACCTTTGGGGGCAGGATTCAGAACCTGAGGATGTCCTTTCTGTCCAGGGCAGCCAAGTTTGGGTGTCTGGTGGCTTCCTAGAGCCAGCTTTTCATCTCTTCTCCAGACAGCTGGCAGAGGAGGGGAGGATTTTTAAAAATAGAGCCAGGGTGGGGGCTGTGGCTGGAACAAAACCTTGGTCAGTGGCTCTGAGAATGGGGCGCTACAGCTCCTAAAGCTCTGGCTCCTTCCTTCAAGCCTGGTCTGGCTTAAGCACCACTTTAAGTGGTCCTGGCATTCACTGGCCAGCCCCTCACCGCAATTGAGCTGCAGGGGTTTGAAAAGAGGGCCAGGGCCTCAATGACAGGACCTTGGGCCAGGCTAATTGGTTTTGGTTCAAGGGGATAGTGGATTTGTGAAAAGCTCCAAACCGCCTTTCCCACGCCAGAGCCAGGCCAGGGCTTTAAGGAGAAGGGTTCAAGGAGCTTGGGGCCAGGCAAGAAAGCTGGGAGCGAGGTGCCTTCAGCTGATGACCCTGCTCTCATAGCCAAGACAGCCCTCTGGTTGGAGAGGGTGGGAAGCTGTTGTGAGGCCACTTCCAGGAGCACCTGCATTTATGGCCTGTCAGGTACTCGAGAGTCAGTTGGATATATTCCTAACCTTCTCCTACACGTGGCTGTGCCAAGAAAGGGGCCTCCTCCTTTGGCGTACCTTAGTGGTGGAGAGGCCCCATTTTCTCAAGTGGGATCATCCAGTAAAAGAAGCCAGCAATGGCCAGGTTTAATATTTCTTGCCCCAGGAGCTGGACTAAACCCAGGCTTTTATATTCTGGGGGCATTCTGGACTCTATCCTGAGGCAGGTATGCAGTTGGTCTCAAGGTGATAACCCACTTCTGTCTCTTGAAATGTCCTTATACTACCCTGGGCATGGACAAACAAAGCAGAGATGAGAAACAGGAAGCCCTTGGTACTTTAAAAAAAAAAAGTCAAATATTTCTATTCTCAAAAGTCCAGTATTAATTATGTTATGACTTAAATCTATCATCATTATAGATAATTTTAATATAAATGGCTTGAAGCATATATCTTAAGGTGTACCAGTTACCTATGTGTTTGGACAAAATGATTGCATATTCGTATATGTAATATACCCATTCTATGTGTGCATATATATATGTATACATGGTCTATATATCAAATCATATGCTTATATTAACAATCAGTTATGTTAAGGTTGAAGGCAGGGTGGGGTGCTATAAATCATCAGCCCCATTTAAAATAACAACGTTGCATTGACTGAGACCAGTGTTTCATGGTTCATTGTGTGTTGAGGGGAGCATTCCTATGTGATCACAGGCTGAAGAAACCCCCTACCTTTTTTATTATCATCCAAATTTTTCACTGTGTTTGCCCACTTGACGCATATAAATAGGAGAAAGGCACTTTGAAGAGATATAGAACTCTGTGTATCACATTTTCCATTTTTATTTCAATTTTTAATTGCCCAGAGCCTAATTTCTTTGGGCCTCTGCTGATTTGCACATTTGAGATTCATGTGTAAATATGTATGTGGCATGTGTGCACGCCTGGGCCTCCTTATCACAAAGTGTGCTCTCTCGGTGTTTAAATACACACAATCCACATCGACACATGATTATGGGCTTACGTATTTGCTTCTTCTCTAGAATCGGGTTAATTTTCCCTTCGCTAATCCTCAAACCCATTAAGTTCCCCACCTCCCCACCCCCACAAAAAATTGCAAACCCTACCACAGACCAGTGGTCTCACCCCACTTCTCCAGCAAGCAGTTCTCCAGGCGGGGTGCTGGAGTGAAGGTTCCTATTAGGCAGACTTCATTAATGTTACCAAATATACCCTGGCACATTTACTCGCCTACTATGAAGTATTACCATAAATAATTAAAATTAAACTGCACTTGTCAAAATAAATGAACAAAGTAGAGTTAGTGATGTCTTTGCCTTGATTTGCTTGGTTTGCTTATTCACTAATTTGAAGAAAGAAAGTGGGAAAAGCAAAGAAAGAACACTGCTACAGACTGCCATGGGATGGACAGAGGAGATAGGGAGAGAATGGAGTGGGGGGAGAGAGAGAGACAGAGAGAGAGAGAGCCCTCAGTCATCTGCCCTTGGGTTTCCAGTCATTAGGGCACTCTGGGAGGCTGGAATGCAGCCTTTAACGTCAGCCCATAATGAATATTGAGGTGTGGATGTGGAAGGAGGGATTTCTTTGTTTACTGAGGAATGGCCATGGGAGTAGGGGAGAGGATTGCCTTTGGGGATTAAGGAGTGGGCTTTGTTTTTATAAAGGGCCTTACTTCTTTTCTGAAGTTTTCTGCAGCTAATTGATTCAATTCAGACATTCCTCTTCCCCACCCGGCCCTGGCCACGTGTTTGTGAGATGTGCACAGCCCCATTTCCCCATCTGCTCTGGCCTCTTTTTCCACTGTGACCCTTGAAAAGGGTGTGAACCTTCACATCAACGAGATCACAGGCTATGGGGAAAACAGTAAGGGGCCGAGACCTTTGTAAGGATATGTGTGTGATATAGATGCACATACATATACACGCACCTATATTAATAGAGGTATAATTTACATCTAGAAACAGATCATAGGTGTACAGTTCTGTGGGTTCTGACAAATGCATTTATACCCATGTACCCAACACCCAAGATAAACCTCATTTCCTTCATTCCAAAAACTTCTTTCCTACCTCTCAGCAGTCAATCCCTGCCAGTCCCCATTCCGATGTCTCTTACCATAGATTAGTTTTACCTATCCAGAGTTTCATATAAATGGAATGTATGCCAGGGCTTTTAAAAATGAATTTATTTAGAGTCTGGAGGGAGCACTGTCCAGGGAGGCCTGGTTGAGCATGTGTCCAGGAGCACTGGACTTGTGTTAAACACTGTCCCCTTGGATGGGCCCGGAAGTCAAACCTGTCATTAGATTTTTTTTTTTTTTTTTTGGTTGGGGGAGCTGGTGTGGGCTGGTCGTCCTCCAGGAGAGCCCTGTTCTCACCCGAGGTCTGTTAATGAGCTGGGGACAGGTGAGCCTCACACGTTCCAACTTGGCTGCCTTCAGCGGCATCCAGGAGCAGTGGTGAGCTATTAATGGAAGGTGCTGGCTTTGTGCTAATTAGAACTTCCTTTCAGCTTCCATCTGCACAGACACTGGAGCCCCTCACTGGTCAGCCTCACTGTTCCAACCCCCCTCAGTTTGCAACCTAGTTTTTGTCCCCCCTGCCCCGCCCTCCATGAATTAGGGGGTACTATGAGTGGAGCTGCTTTCCTCTATCTCTGGTCAAATCCTGGCTCTTTGTGTATTGCAGAACTGCACTGGGTGGTATTTCTCAGGCCTTCTCTCTCTTATTGGGGTGAAGATGGAGTTGGAAGATGGAGTTGGAAAGGGATTTGGGCACCATGGGCACCCTCCTGGGTAGGCTGGACTTACATCATTGACCTGAATTTGTTTTATGAAAGACCTCTCTCCTCTGCCCTCTGGAGACTGTGGCTTCAGACCCTTGTCCTTTCCATTACCCCTAGTCCTGATGTCTCCCAAGTCTGATGGTACCCACCCATCTCAACTACAGCTGCCATCTTTGCCGTCTCAGGCAGCCTACAGGTAGGGGCTGTGTCCTTGGCCCTCTTCTGAAAAACAAACAAACAAACAAACAAAAACCTATTTTTTTTTCCTTTACTTTTGCTTTTTATTCCTTTCACTTCAGGCCCAATGGATATAATTTTTTCTTTAATGGAAGTTGTCTCTTACAGAGGTTTCATTGAAAAAGAAGAAACAACGTCACATTAACGTCATTTAAAGAAAAAGCACCTCTCAGAATGGAGGTTGGGAAAGCTAGGGTTTCCTGCCTGAATATCAGTTCCTCTATTGAAACGAAGGGATGAAATCCCTTGTAAGGAACTCAAGAGAGGAGCGTTCCCTCAAAATGCTTTCTTTAGCTCCTGAGTCTCCTTAGGTCTACACTGGGGTTGTGTGTAAAAATACCAAGCCCTCCCTGACAATGCATCTCCTTCTCTTCTGCTTGAATTATCCTGATAATGAGAGTTCACCCACTTCTTTGACAGTGTAGACTAGGATTTTAAAAATTGGGAGTGAATTGTTGGACAGTGTGACACTTCACCAGATTCCCTCAAGGTTCTGGACCTACGCTAAAGAGGGGTGGAAATGCTTCTGGGGTGTCCAGAAGGGCTGCAGAAATTCCCCATCACTGGTCATGGGGAGAGCAGGAGGACTGGCTTCCCTCTGTGGCCTATTCTGCCTCTGAAGGTGACAATTCCTGATTTGAGGCACTAGGGTGGAAGATCCAGGACTATCCAGGACCAGGTTAATAAATTGGCAGTCCAGATTCCAGAAGGGCAGCAGCTGGGGACTGGAGACATGCCCATGCCTGTGGGACAGAGTTCTTTTGCATGCTTTGGACTTTACAACTCTGTATCCTTGACAAGTCACAGGCATCTCTGGGTGAAATGGGGACAATAGTACCCATACCTCCAAGGGTTATGTGAGAATTAAGTAAAATATACAAATAAAGTGCCTGGCATACAATGGGCACTGAGCAAATGGTAGCTCTTTTTTCCAGGCTGGGGCAAGGGATGCATATAAATGTCTGGATCCGAAGTTTGAAATTCCACCTGCTGGAGACAGTGAACACCCCAATAGATACCCCAAATCGTATTGAAGGACGGATGACGGGATGCCTTCCTCCCCCAGGGCATGCCATACACACTGGGTCTGAAGTGGGAGAATCGGCACCCCAAAAAACGGCTTGTGGAGCGGGATTGCACATGGGTGTAAAGTTCCCAGCTTGGCTGCCTGGGGAGGGGGACACATAAATGTCTTTAGAGATTTGAAGGGAGCAGGATCTGGACTCACTTGCGTTGCCAAGACGGCTGGGGCTGGGAGCCAAGGGGGTGCTGCCGGGAGGCCCGCGTTAGCTTGGGGTATGACATTTCTAACAGTTGGCGCCTGCGGAAAATGGCCTGGGGTTCCAGCTCTGGAAGGTTCCGAATCTCAGGATTCACGAGTGGCGCTGTCCGGAGCAGCCAGGGTTGTCCCGAGGTGGTCTCTGGCAGGCTTTCCACGATGTGCTGTCTGGGTCGCAGGTGAGAACCTCATGGTTCTCCATTTCCGGAACTCCAGCTCTGAGCAGGCAGAGGGGCGCTGCCCTCGCCTGCCCCTGCGGTAGCCAAGCAGGTGGCTGGAAGCATGGCTAGCTGGCGGGTAAGGAGCTCCGGGTGAGACGGAACAGCCGGAGACCCCCAATCCCCTTAGCCGGTGCCCCACCCGATTTCTCTCCTGCGTCCCGGGAGGGCATGGTTGAGGCGCCACCAGTGACCAGCAACCTCCCCAGGCTGTGGTTGTGACCTGAGGACGCGTGTGTCTCCGCCCCCAGGCCAACGCTAGGCGACCCTGAGTGCACCTTCAAGAAGGCCTGGTATGTTTCTGGGCGGTCGTGGGGGGTGCCTGATATCTCGGCTCTGTTTTACAGTTACTCCCCTGCTGGTGCCTCCCTCCTTGGCGCGGTTTCTGCCTGCGATCAGCGCCCTCTTCGCAGTCACGAACTCGCCAGCAGCTAGCAGCACTTACTAGTAGGAGGGCCCACCGGAGGAGAGGTGAGCGACCAGAGCCAGGGAGTGGGAGGAGGAGCTGGCTGCCCGCACCCGCACTCCGCCCCAGATGGCTCAGAGAGTGGGCTGCGGGTTGGGAGGTTGGGAAATTCCAGGATCAGGTTGGTAGTGCGCCTATGTTTTTACCTGGGTCACCAGCAAGACTACTCCCCTCCTCCCTAGGCCCGGATCCAATGTCATCCCTCACCCTCAACCTGTGAAATGGCTTTAACCATACACCTGCTGGCTTGTTGTGCTCTATGACATAATTTGGCAGAGCACGGCGTGTAGCACACAGTGGGCGCAAAGTAAATGGCGGCTCTGGCGGTTCTAGCACCGGAGGCGGCTTCTTGGACACCCGGCGTTCGCGGGAGCCTGAGGCGCTCGGTTGCTAGAGCCTTAGCTGGGAGTGGCGTGGCTGCTTCCCGCCTGCGTAGGACCAGGCCGGCCCCCGCGGAGCTCAGGGCCTGGACCCGCGCTCCCCACCCAGAGCTAGGGAAACGGGAAAAAGAGGCACAAACTCGGAAGCCGCAGTAGGGCAAGAGCCTAAGCAAAGAATCCTTTCCAAGCATTCACACCTTGTCTATGCCAGGGCACCGCCTGGGCCTACGGCCTTCGCAACCTGAAGAGCCCGCAGCCCAGAACTGGCATCAGGCCGGGAAGGTCGTCGCAGGCCCCAGAGTGCGGGCACTGGGGGCGCGCGCCCACTGGCCGCCCGGGGCTGGGGAGGCAGGAGGGAAGGACGCCGGCAGGCCCGCGGCTGTTTCCCCTCGGCCCGCGCCGCGGACCCGGGAGGCCATTTTGAGAGCGCGAAGAGGGGCGGCAAGATGGCTGCGTGGGCACCCGGGAGGTCACCGCGCCAAGGGCCCGCCGATCCCCTCCTCGCACTCGTCCAGCCGCGCGGCCCACGGAAGCGGAACGCGCGTCGAGCGCTCCCTGCCCGCTCGCCCCAGACAGATGCCCCGTTATTCATTACCCCGAGGCCTAGAGGAGCGAATGGCTGCCGTCTTCCTGCCCACAGCCAGCCGGACCCTCCGTCGCGGCTGCCCGGTCCCCGGAGCCGCAGCCGCCGAGCCCGGCTGTGCGTGTCGTGGCTGCTGGGGAGAAAGGCGTCCGGTAAGAGCCCTCCTCACTGGGCTGCCCGCCCCGGGCAGGGGCGGAAACGGTATTCCCCGCGTGGGGAACAATGGCGTTATTTTGGAGTCTGCAACCGAGAGCGCTTCGAGCTCTTTGATTGTTTTCGAGGAGTGCTAGGTGCGTGGCTAACGCCCGCGTTTTCTTGGAACCGCGAAGCCTGACATGGCGAGCCGCCCTCCTGGGACTGAGTGTGGTCCCAAGTGCAAGGATAGCCACGGGCCAGGGAGCCGTGGGCCTCGAGACCCGGACAGGAGCTTGCGAGGGCCTCCATGGTCCGTGTGGTTGGGTCTGAGGACCGGCCGAGAGGCTCCATTCACACCATCCCAGGGCAGGCTGCGGGTCAGATGCGAATGAAGGGGGCCGGGCATTGGAGCTGCATGTTTGAGCTTGCCCCCTCCAGGCCTAAGGGCCAGAGCTTCTGCTCTTCTGCCTCCTTTGCCCCTATCCTACCCTCGTGAATAATTTAAGCACAATCACTGTTTTTCTAGCTGTCCGCATTGACCCACCGCTGCCTTGAAGCAGATCCCAGATGTGTGCATTTATATGCAGAGTGACCAAGAAACTTCAGTAATACTAGTTTGTGTCTTTGGAGTCCCGCTTTGTGCCAGGGCTATTGCTAACAGCTTCAAGAGAATTCGACCTCACCTTGACAGATAGGGTGATGATTCACTATTTGTGTCTTTTGCCATAGCTAGGATGTGGTAGAGCCGGTTGTGGACTCGGGGCTATCTGCCCCAAGGCCTGCGTTCCCAACCTGTCTCTCTGCAAGTACACAGGAACACAGGGATTCATCACCGTTGTGGTTTCATCTTTCAAATAAGCACCAAGCCTCTCCTGAATCCAAGTCCCCATCCCCACACAGCCCTGCCTCACAAGTGAGGGCTCTCCTGACATCCCCCAACCTCCCAGTCTAAAGCCCTGGCCTCAGATTGTGTGACTGAATAATGTGATTATTCTGAGCTTCCTGGCAGCCACGAAAAGAAAACATGGTGGTGATAACCTTGTTTTTAAAATGAAACTCATCAGGATTTTAGAGAGATGAACGTTTTTCCTGCATGAGGCTTATAGAAAATGTAAAGCTTAGTGGTTATGTAGGTCAACTGCTCATGTCACTGATGAGGAACCAGGTCCAGAGAGGTTACGTGATTTTCACCAAGGTCACAAAATTAGCTAGTACAGTGAGGACTGAGACCCAGGGGTCCTGACTCCCAGTCCAGTTCCCATCCTCTCATGAGCAGGCTTTAGTGGGCTTCTCAACTTGGAGACAGTTTAATTGTGGTCTAGCGACTCCATTCCTCACTATAAATTGCTCAGACCTGGATGCTGCCTTGTTCCTTTCTTTTCTCCCAGTTCCTAGTGCTGGGCTGGACTCATCATTGTGGGTGTCTCTAAATATTTGATAATTGAGTGGGGCTAAAACCTCTGATAATGAGGGGATGGGGGGGGTGGTGGTAGAGGGGAAGTCCCTGACTTCAGTTTTCAAGGGGGCCTTTATTTTTTTAATGTTAGGTTCCTGGTCCTTAATTCCCTAGGTCTCTCTCCTGGCAAGTGGTACGAGGTGGGTAGTGTGTTTTCCCTTTTGGCAATCATCCTATTCTGCCCCATCACATTATTGGACCTTATAGGAAAGGGTCATTTGTCTCTTGGGGGACTATGTTGTCAGTAACACCTGCAAGTCCCTTTAGGTGAACCAAGGGAGGTTTCCCCACCAGCACAGTGGCCATGAGACCTGGCCGACTCATTTTTTTTGTCCTCTTTGGGTGGAGAGACAGCCTTTCTGTACTTGCTCAGGTTTGATTCCCATGGCTTAAGTACAAATCACAGAATGTGGCTTAGATTAGTAAATTTCCATGGCTCCCAAAAGGTAGCATTTGAATCCCTGGCATGATAACTGTAGGTGCTGAATAAATTTAGTGACCTGCAACAGACCAGATTCTCTGGAATTCTAGGCTGGAAAAGTGTCACCCCTGGGTGTGGGGAGGGTTGTGCTTCTTGATGGGAGTCCCTATTGGCAGAAAGGCTCCAACAGATCCTGGCCAAATTCTGTCGTCTTTGGGTAGAATCTGCATGAACAAAGCAGAGTAGGTAACTAGGGCTGGTTTGCAGCTAAAGCCCCAGCTGTGGAAGAAAAACAGGGTTCAGCTCCCCAGATTAGTTACTGTCTACAAGGATTAAAGGCCCCAAATAATGGCTGGCTTCTCCCCTCCTCTGTGCCAAGGGAAGACATGTAAATACAGCCGCACGCCAGCTTAGGCAGTAGATGTGTATAAATCGAATTTAGCAAATCAGATCATGGTCTAAATGCACTATTTAAAGCAGTCCTGCAGTGAAGCCTTTTACAAAGGGAATAATCATTTTGTGATGCTAATCATCAACCTCCAATTTATCTCCTTTGTAAGTTCAGATGTTGGTGCACTGGGTGTTCTGAAATTGGGGCGCTCTTGCGTAGGGCTCTGGTGATGGCTGTCTGCCTTCTTTTTCTGACCTCTCATTTTAAATGGGTGCATGTCCTGTTTCACTGGGGGCCTCAGGATGCTTGTCATTTAGCCTGATAGTTCTCATCCATCCCACTTGTCTTTTTATAATCTGATAGAGCCCACCATTCAGCTGCTCCTGGCTCCTTTTTTGAGATTTTTTGCCTTTCCTGGGGAGAAATACAAGCCCTGCTGTTCTTGAGGTGTTAAAACCAGCTCCCTCTCTGATCTGAACCGTCTTTTGTTTCCCTGAGCTTCTGGTACCTTTGGTGCAGATCAGAAAGATGATCTGAGAGTTGACTAGATAACACAAATCAGCCCTGAATTTAGAAGGCGAATTAAATGCAGCCACCCATCTGCTGAATAGGCAATATCCAAAATATTCTCCCCATTCATGGCAAAATAACTGAGGCCTGGATGTTAAAGGGACTTTTCCCACAAGTTAAAATCAGGACTCCAAGGAGAACCTGTCTCCCAATTGCTATAAAAGTGTTTTATATGCTGAGCTGTAGTTCCTTTCTCTACAGAGAAAATATAATCAGAGACCATCTGGGTGGGAGAGAAAGAATGAAGAGAAAGAAATGGATCAGAGTGGAATAAAGGAAGTGGGCAGGAAGCTGGGGGGCTTCGAGGAGCCTGACCTTGCTTAGCTTACAGGCCCTGATATAGTGTCTTTGTCAATGCTGCCACTATTGACGCGTTCCTCGGTAATTATGACTGTGTGTTGGCATGGCGACTCGGAGTAAGAAGACTAGAAGCACTGGGTAAATGCACGACTTGTTCTTGCCTTCTAAAGCAGAGAGGAGCTTTTGTGGGTAGTTCCTACAGGGATACATGGTAGAAAATTCACCAGACCCAGTGCTGGAGTATTTACACCCCATAGGAGCCAGGTAGCCCTGAGCAGAGATTGTACAAACAGAGGTCCTTAGCAAGACTGGCATCTAATGCAGAGGTCTTCCAGAGCCTCCCTCTTGTGTCTTCCTGTTGGTCTTTGTTCCTTAGCCTTGTAATGTCAAGTATATTCATTTCTGCTCCTCTCTGGGTTGTCTGCTTCAAAATAGGTTTACGTTGCAGTCTCCCTGAATTTGATTGATCATAAAATTATCTATTTCATAGGCCATGACTGTGTATTTGGAAGCTGAAGAGAAAGGCTGATGGGCACAGCTGGGACTTCCCTTTCTATCCTCTTGCCCTTTTCTTAGATACTTGGACCACATTCTCATCCTCATCTGAAAATGGGGAGAGGTTGCTGTTGTCTTGTATAACCACTAGACACCCATGCTGTTGATCTCATGAAATGTGGTCAACGTGGCATGTTGAAATGATAATGTTGGGTTAAGTACAATATATTGTTAAAACGACATGTTCATTCTTACATTTTAATGAAGCTTCGGAAACATTTAAAATTATACTTGGAACTGACATATTTTCATTGGATAGTGAGGTCTACACTAGAGGCTCAAGACCTCTTCCATCCCCAGTGCTTAGTAACTAATCCTGATCTCCCCCAGGAGGCTTGTGGCCACACAGGGCTCTGTGCATAGAGGTCCATGGAAAAGCTAGAGAGGAGGCACATAGAGAACCTCGTGCCTTAAGGGGCTTTTAGGAGTGCCTAGTACAGTCCTTTAAATGGGGATTACCCCTCAGTCCTTGGAGGCAGAAGTCGTGGCTTGAATCTGTAGACAACATTGTATTTTTCAGCATTTAAGGTGGGGACAAGGCAGCCAATAGGTAAACCCCGGAAGAATCTTTGGATGAAGGTTTAGCAGTGCCCCAGTGGAGTTTGAATGGGCACAGCTGTAGATAAGAGGAGGGTTGTCCTCCTTCCCCCGTCCCTAGCAGTGATTTCATAGTCTCCCAGATGTGCAGAAACCACAGGGCACGGGAAGGCAGCCATGCATCCCAGGTTCGTGCCAAACCCACTTTCAGCAGGTTTGTTTCCTTTGGCCCGAGGGCTCCTTGTCACCCCTCTCCTGGCTGCCCCTCCTCCCCTCAGCCTCTGCTGCTCTCCCTGTGCTGGAGCTTCTGGGATGCGTCTTGGCTCAGAGCCAGCGTCTTCTTGGAGAGGCCTCCTGCCCTGGCTCCCTGCCAAGCCTCAGGGCCTCAGAGAGATTTTCCGGGGAGGTGCTGGGCTCATACTGCTGTCAAAGGGCAGAGGGGCCTCAGTTAGCTTTCTCCCCTTGGAGGACCCCTGGCTGTGGGTCTGGGCTTGCCTCCAGCCCCCTTTCCCCCTCAGAAACTCCAGTTTCCTGCCCTGGAAACCCTGGACTGGGTTAAGGGCCTTCCAGCTCCAGTAAGCTTTGAATTTATAAAAAGAAGGCTCCTCACATGAACCTGGGAGGTGAGAAATGGGCATCGAGGAAGTCATAATGAGTCATGATGATGGGGACAGGAACCATTTACTGAGCACTTACTCTGTGCCAGGTTCTGTGCTAATGCTTTGTATATTGTATCTCCTTTGAGGGCTGTCTCTTCGGGAGAAAAAAGAGTAGTAAATTGGACCAGGGATTTTCCCTTCTTTTCTAAGCCAAATGCCATTTGGGTGACTGCATGGGGTGTGTTACAGGGGCTACAGCCCTTGCATAGGAGGGACTATCAGCCCCCAGTGAGTCCTTGTCTCCCAAAGAATCAGCCTGGGCTTTGGGAAGCAGCTTGAGTTCATTTGGGTTGCCAAAGGATGCCTCTGCAGTGTCTCCTGCTTGGGGCTGGCAGTACACCTGGAGAATCAAGATGGGAGGGCTCTATGCTGGGCCCCTGGGAGCCTTGGTGCAGAGCTAGAGGGGTGAGCAGCATACCACCCAGTCCGGATTTATCTCCTAATTGTGTGTTCCATATCCCTGCTGTGCCTCAGTCTGTAAAATTACGGGGTTGGCCCAAGCCTACCAGCCTGCCCACAGTGCCAAGGGACTGTGGCTGCTCAGGATGAGGCTGGCCTTTTGCTTTTTGCAATGTTGTATCCCCCTGATGTAGCACCCATGGTCTTCTGGAGGAGGGAAGGGGGCCCACATCCTCTGTCCCATCTCATCTTGTCCTTAAGCAGACAATGTCAAGCCTTCCTCCTATCTGCCCAGTTCTGCACTATAGCTCCTACTGTCTCCTTAGGTTAGGAGAGGTGGCAGATGCCTCTGAAGGCATGTTACCTCCTTGATGAGTGCTGGGGAAAAGGGGAGTAAAGAAACAAGTCTCAAGTTTATAGCTATCCTTCCCTTTGAATGTGCAACTGCTTTTACCCAGTATCGAGTTCACTGTTCTCTCTTCTACCGTGGGTGACAGACTCCGAGACCATGGTGGTGTGAGGCAGAGGCAGTGTGGCCCAGTGGGTATCCAGGTGGAGGGGTTGGTCTGATCTAATTCAGAGCCCACAGGGCACTCCTTCCCCTCTTCGTCTGAGCTAGTTTTCCCATCTGCAAAATTGGGAATAGTAATACTGACCTTGTGACACTCAAGATGCATCCCCCATCTTGCTGGTCTGTCACGAGTGAAGGCCACCTTCCCTGGCCAGCAAGGGACCAGGGTCAGCTCTCTGTTAGTCACTCTACAATAAGCTGTGGTGTTTATAGAACAGCCATAAGCTCTGCAGTGCAGGGAGAACTCCTGACCTCTAGGAGCAGAGAAACTAGCTATTACCAGCCTAAGGCGGCACACATCCAAGGAGCAGAGTGTTTTGATGTTTTGTCTCTGTCCTTGGGAGTTAAGAGAAGAGGAATTAGATTGGGGTGGAGAAGCCTCGCTGTGCCCAAACAGGTCTTCTAGGCTGTTGAGAGGGCAAGACGGCATCCCTGCCAATGGGGAGAACTCTTCGACTAGGGCCTTTTTTTTGTGGAGATGAAGTGGGAGGAGGATTCCTGCTGGCCTGGGCCTGAGATTTGGATGTAGGTCAGGTCAGATGGTGGAGGATAAGAATGACGAGGTAGGGAGCAGGCTAAGAGAATTGGTTTGGTCACCATGTGCAAGACTTGTGGGTATTGGAGGCTATCAGGCCTTGTGCTGCCCAGGCCAACCTGAGCTAAGCAGCCACACCCACCCTGTGCCACTCACCTCTTATGGTACCTGGCCTGGACGTCAGCAGCCCCAGGGCTGTGCTGTGGAGCCATTTCCCACTTTGCAAGGGAACTACGGGGCTCTGAAATTGGAAGTCTTCCCATGCCACACTGTATTTTTTCTTTTCTTTTTTTTTTTTTTTTTGAGACGGAGTCTCGCTCTGTCGCCCAGGCTGGAGTGCAGTGGCCGGATCTCAGCTCATTGCAAGCTCCTCCTCCCGGGTTTACGCCATTCTCCTGCCTCAGCCTCCCGAGTAGCTGGGACCACAGGCGCCTGCCACCACGCCCGGCTAGTTTTTTGTATTTTTAGTAGAGACGGGGTTTCACCGTGTCAGCCAGGATGGTCTCGATCTCCTGACCTCGTGATCCGCCTGTCTCGGCCTCCCAAAGTGCTGGGATTACAGGCTTGAGCCACCACGCCCGGCCACACTGTATTTTTTCTTACCACACTCATTTATTCATTCAATGTCTATTGACCACACATTATGTGTCAGCCTCTGGGCAAGGCCCTGGGGATACAGAGAAGGAAACCACAGTCCCTGGCCCAGCACTTTAGCTTGTGTGATGTGGAAAGGCATATATCCGTTTAGAGCTGGAAGGCCAAGCTAGCAGGGGTGGTGTGCTAGATTAGCAGGCACTCCGGGTCTGACAGTTATCATCAGTTTGTGGCTTATTGACTTTCCTGCCCCTCTCCATGTCCCAAGAGCCTGGGAGAACAGCGTCAGAGGCCATGTCATGCTTTGCCTGTGATGACCTTAAGCTGTCGTTTAGCCTTAGCTAGAACTGTAATTCTCTAGATTCCATTGTTTCTGTATAGAATTGTGACATTTCAGTTACCCTTTCTTCATTTTAAAAACACCTTTTTTTTTTTTTTTTTTTTTTGAGACAAGGTCTTGCTGTGTCAGCCACGCTGGAGTGCAATGGCCTGATCATAGCTCACTATAACCTCGAACTGGCTCAAGCAATTCTGCCTCAGCCTCCAGAGTAACTGGGACTACAGGCATGTGCCACCACACTCAGACTTTTATATTTATTTTATAAAATTAAAAAAAATTTATTTTGTAGAGACAGGGTCTTTCTTTGTTGCCTAGGCTGGTCTCAAACTCCTGGCATCAAGCGATCCTCCCACCTGGGCCTCCCAAAGTGTTGAGATTATAGCATGAGCCGGGCACAGTGGCTCACGCCTGTAATCCCAACACTTTGGAAGGCAGAGGCAGGTGGATCACCTGAGGTCAGGAGTTCAAGATCAGCCTGGGCAACATGGAGAAACCCCGTCTCTACTAAAAATACAAAATTAGCCGGCGTGGTGGCACATGCCTGTAATCCCAGCTACTCGGGAGGCTGAGGCAGGAGAATTGCTTAAACCTGGGAGGCAGAGGATGCGATGAGCCGAGATCGTGCCTGGGCAACAAGAATAAATCTCTGTCTCACCAAAAAAAAAAAAAAAAAAAAAAAAGATTACAGCATGAGCCACCACACCCAGACTAAAAGGCAGTTTGATTTTATAAATCAAAATAGCAGTAATCTATCGAGATTTACTTGTGAGATTGGTAGGAAACATCTTAAATGTAATCAAACAATAAATTACATCTTGATGAATTCGTGTAGGTTTCTCTTCCTCAGAAGAAATCAGATGCTGTTCAGAGCACCAAGGCTAGAATTTTACCTTGGTTCTCATGCTACCCTGCACCCAGGTTGGATCCTGAGTACAGTTTTTGTACCCTTATATATAGTTTGGGCCTGTATATAAGTTAGCAATGGGGGATACCCAGCTGCCTCTCTTCATACAGCTGAGGTTTTGGGGAGTAATTCTCACAGCCCCTGGGTTGGGCCTAGTCCTGCAAATGAATTCACTAGCCCTAAAGCCCAAATTGCAGCCTCTGTCATTCTTTCTTGCCTTCCAGGAATGGGAAGGGCAATAAGTTTCATCTTATTATTATTGCTATTTTGGCGGTTTTGTTGACGTTGGTGTGTGTATGTTATAAGATAAAGCTCTCAGAAATTACATAGCATTTGTCAAGGATATAAGAGGGACTCTGCCACTTCTGGCTGTATAGAAGGTGGTTCTGTATCTTTAAATAGAACCTCAGGTCCTTAGCCACCAGAAACGTTTTCAGGGGAAGTGTGCACCCTCAGCAGCTGCTGCTGGTGGACAGGATGGGCACACATGGAACAGGCTTTCCTCTGTGGCCAGGTGAGAAGCAGGTGGCGAGACACAGAGCAGTGCTGTGCTCTGCTTCTGAAGCCTCCAACCTTTCCTTTCTTAGGAAACCCCAGAGAGATTGGTGATGGTGATTTCCCAGGAAGACGTGGTGTGCTCCAACTTCTGTGACAGTGAGCAACGGGACCAATGGATGTCCGGATGCTGGCAATGAGTAGGCCTTCCCTACGCTGGGTGGCGTCCACACCCTTTGGCTTCCATTGCCTGGGTCTCCTGGAGGTGATTTGCTGGATGAATACTGCATGCACAGAATCTGGCCTTGGGTTTGAATATGGTGGCCAGTGGACAGCATGTGCTTCAGTTATGAGGCTGCCCAGGAGATGCTTCTTCCAAGGCAGAGCATATGCCGAGTCCAGTGCTGGAGAGGCCGGGTGTGCAGTTGACCAATTTCCAGTTCTAGTTTCCCTCTCATGTTCCTCTGTCCCCATCCAGGACATGCTCTGGAGTCAGAAGACAGCAAAAAGAGAAGCAGAAGTCCCGGTGGCAAGAGTCCAAAGGTGGGTCCCTTCCTGACATGGGCATTGGGCTGCACGTGTGTGTTTGCAGTTCTTTCCAGCTGCTGGAAAGATGTATTTCTGTGGCTGTAGATGGATGGTCCAAGGTAGATTTAGGTTTTAGAATACTGTTATTTTTTTTTCTACATTCAGGGAGAAAATAACCCAGTTTGGGAAGGACAATTTAAAAAGGGAAAATATTAGGTATGATGGCACACCTGCAGTCGCAGCTATTCGGGAGGCTGAGGCTGGAGGATCACTTGAGCCCAGGGGTTCCAGGCTGCAGTGAGCTATGATCACGCCACTGCACTCCAGCCTGGGTGAGAGAATGAGACCCCTGTCTCTTAAAAAAATGTAATTTAATTTAAAAGGGGAAAATATCCTTGGTGGTTCTTGGAACCAGCACCTACTAGGTTGACCCGTATGAAATTTCTTTCTTGTTGATGAAAAATAGTCAAATATTGACAATTTCTTATGGTTCAACCTACTATAGTTCCATTCCTCTGGGATGGTAGAGGGATCCCCAGAAACACATTTTAAAGAGTTTCTGATACTTTAACCATTTGTGTTCCTCTTCATCCTATGATACCCTTCACAGAATTTTTTTTTTAACAGCAGGAAGGAATCACTGTAACCTGTGGATTGTACTGCAGTAGGAAACTATCCTAGCAAGGCTCCACTTTGCCCCAGCTTCAAGGTATATCATCTCAAAATGCCGGATACTTCAGATGAGTTTTGAGCACCCTTTCTTTTGTTATAAAAAAAAAATTCCAGACAGTTCAGCCAATACTGACTAAGGGCTGAGACCAGTTCCAAACTTTTCTGTCTCTGGAGGAATTTGCTTCCATCTGGATGCCTGAAACGGTATTTTACTTCACCTCCTGTGTCACCGGCAGCAGTCCTGGGAGACTTGGGGAGGAGGTTGTTGGGAGAGCCAGTTCACAGCCTCTCCACAACCTTTTAGCCACCCCGGTGCTGGGCAGCCAGAGTGTGGGCTTTTGACTGAATGTTCTCGCCTTCCCGCATTCATTACACCATTGTCAGTGTGTGTGTCTGGGGCTGCCTCTGGGTGTGTGTGTGTGTGTTTGTGTGTGTCTGTGTGTCAGTGACAGGCTATGTGTGTCTGTTTCTGTCGGCTTGTCTAGGCGTGCTCAGTGCAACAAGGAGCTTGGGGAGGTGGCAGTAAAGGGGGAGGGCATTTCAAAGCCCAGCTGTCCTCCTCAGGGACCTCAGGAGATAGGTGTGTGTATGTGTGTGTGTGTGTGTGTATGTGTGTTTGTGGATTTTTTTCCATATTGCTCATTGTGTGGGGCTGCATGCGAGTGTCTGACCAGGTGTGGTGTGAGCAGCCGCTGGGCTGGGTGAGCCCCATCTGCTGTGAGCTCCCAGACTTGCCTTCTAGCCCTCTGCTGCCATCCATGGGGAGCCTCTCCCTTCGCAGCTCACCGTCTCCTCTCTAATTTATTAGCTGGAAAGGAGGAGAACATGAAACGTTGCTTGAAGACAATGGCCGAGACAGCAGGTCCCACCCTGCACAGCCGCCAACATCTCTTCCCTCAGCCTTGTCTCTTCTTCTGCAGTTGGGATCTGCACATTTAAGCCTGAAGTAAGAAGAAAACAAGCCCCCAAACCACCCTATTAAAAAATGTGCCTGGCCTTAGATGTGCAGAGGTAGCTATAAACTGTTGAAGGTGGGAGAGGTCAACAAAATTAAGGTTTGAGCCTTCTACTCTGGGGCCCCCTAGCTCTGAGTCCCAGCACTTCCCCCCAGCTCCAAGCCAGGTTGGAAGGGGGCAAGGGGCCCAAGGCAGCTGCAGGGGCTGTGTTAGTAAACACTTTCCTGGGTTCCCATTTTCTGTACACCCCCCACCCTTCTCTACTCCCTGATGCCCCGTTATACACTCCCACCCCCCAGCATCCCCTTTTCTGTGGCCTGCACAATGAGCTCATTGTCCCGGGTGTGATTTGAATAAGGGATCGGTGGGCCTGTTCCCAGCATTGTCCAAGGGGCTGGGAAAAACCCCAGCGCAGGCAGGAGGACCAGACCAGACAGAGACAGATGCCTAAATTAGCAACAAAGCTTTGTGCACGTCCCCTGGACAAGGGCTCGCCTTGTTTGCGTGGACTCGAGGGTGTGGAGCTGGCCGGCTGCTCGCATGTCTCCCCATGTTAATTAGTTTTGCATGCATGTCTGAGAAGGTGCCAGGGGAGATGTGTTTGCCTTTCCCCGGGAGGGGGCCCTGTTTGTGGCTGGCTAGTAGCCTGGGGGCCTGGAGCTGAGAGGGGCTGGGCCTACCTGGAGAGCCAGGCTCTGAGCCTGGCCAGGGAATTGCGGCTTTCCCATCCTATAGTTCTGTCTCTCTGCCGTCTGGGAGGCCTGGCTTTGCTCCCTATGCCTTCTTCCCGCCACCCCTCCATGTCTGAAAGTTGGTCAGCTCTGACTGCTGGGACTCACTGGCTTCCTCCCAGACCCAGGCCAGTGCCTGTCCATCTGGCAGTCTGTCTCTTGCGACACAGGGCCCCTTGGGACCGGGCAGCAGAAACAGCCAGTCTGGACTCTTCTCCGTCCCCGAGCCAGATGGCCAGTCTGCTGATCGCATTACGGCCTCCCCTGTCCCCAGACCCCTGCCGCCTGTGGTTGGACCAGGATCTTGTGTGGGATATGATGGAGAAGCTTCCTTTTAGGACCTCATAGAGGCCTGGCCTGAAAGGAAAGGGGTCTGGTAGACAGGGCGTAAGGCATGTCCTTGCTACCGGTTTCTATGTGACCTCAGGCAGGCCAAGTGACCCCAAATCCTGAATCTTAGTTTTCTTGTTGGCAAGAGGAGTGAGTTGAACTTCAGGAATCTCTTGGCTCTCTTCTAACTCAGAAAGCCTCTGATGGTGGTAACAGTGGTGATCATTTCAAAACTATGTTGATTTAGCATTCGCTAATTTAGCACAATGACAGGAATGGGACTAATGAATTCTGGCTGGGGTGGAGGGGAGTGCTGCAGGAAGGATTTCATCCCTGTTTTTTGTTTTTGTTTTTGTTTTTTTTTTTGAGACGGAGTCTCGCTCTGTCGCCCAGGCTGGAGTGCAGTGGCCGGATCTCAGCTCACAGCAAGCTCCGCCTCCTGGGTTTACGCCATTCTCCTGCCTCAGCCTCCCGAGTAGCTGGGACTACAGGCGCCCGCCACCTCGGCCAGCTAGTTTTTTTGGTACTTTTTAGTAGAGACGGGGTTTCACCGGGTTAGCCAGGATGGTCTCGATCTCCTGACCTCATGATCTGCCCGTCTCGGCCTCCCAAAGTGCTGGGATTACAGGCTTGAGCCACTGCGCCTGGCCTCATCCCTGTTGATATCCAGTGCGGGCTCCTGTTTTCAGAGTGTGGGGAGGACCAAGAGCAGGCAGAGCCTGTCTTCCCAGGTCTTCACAGAGGAGCTCTTCCCCATCCCAAACCTGCAGTGGTGAGAAGCAGGCCCTGGTTCTCTGCACAGAGACTGCCAAGCAGAAGAGAGCTTGGCAGTGGCAAAGGAGAAGCTGGAGGGAGAGCAGCTGCTAGCCAGGGCCCTAGGTGTGTCCTGGTTGCCCCCTGCAGGTCCTGGGACAGGGTTGGTGGGGGTGGGCAGGGGACAGGGCTGAGAAGGGTCAGGGTTCATCTGGGAACTTCAGAGTTCCCACCTCTCCACAGCCCTTCGGAATAACCCCAGGTGGTAGGTGGGGAGTGGGATGAAGCATCACCCTGCTGTTTAGTGCAGGGCTCTCAGGTTAAGTGGCCAGGGGGTCTGGCTCCTTCTTTGCCAGCCTCCCAATCTCTGTCACTCTCCCACTCTCTCATCAGGTGTTGTGGGATGTACCTTGCACTGAGGCCAGGCAGCTGACCAGAGCCACCCACAAGGAGCCTCTGGAATTAACCTCAGGTAGCCACTCAGACCAGGCAGGGGAGAGACCCTGGACCTCCCTTCCAGCAGGGACCTTCCTTCCCATGCCGCTGTGCCAGCCAGTTCCCATACGCAGTGCACTTGTTCCTTCCATCTGGGCTGCCTTTTTCCTCCCCGCCTCTCTCTCTCTTTTTATTTCTGTTTCTGGGGGGCCTTTCCCTGTCTCCCTGAACTGCTCCTCACTCAAGCTGGATAACTGGTGGTAAAGTCCAAAGCTCAAGAAGAAAAGAAGGTAGACGTTAGCACTTCATGGCAGGGATAGAGTGAGAGAGTTGCCTACAGTACGGGTTGGGAGAAGAGGCAGGGCAGCAGGGCCTTGGGAGAGCTGCCCACTGGCCTCCCTGCCCCTCCCCATTCCTACCTCCCAGGGTTTAGCCGCCTCAGCTGTAGCTCTGAGCTCCTTAATCTGGTGATCCTTGTGGTGCTGGGGGGCAGGCTAGCAGAGGCTTTAGGAGGTGACAGGGGATCTTGGGAGTCGCACTCTGCTAACAGAGTGTCATGCAAAGCTGGAGAATCACATTCCGAGCGCAGCTCCCACTCCTAAGGCAGTGGCCCGGCAGGGCTGGACCCAGCACAGGTGGTACCCAGTGGAGGGCTGAGGCACAGACCCTGCATGCAGTCGGGCGTCACCTCCTCTTTGTCCCTCAGGAGGAAAGTTCCCAAGATTAGGGCTTTCTGGCCCTTTCTGCATGGCTAAGTTTTTATTGTTTGGTAGCTGCCCCCACCCTTACCCCAGCCCCCAAATCCTCTGGCTGCCAATCCCAGTTAGAAGAAGTCTCTGTAAGTTGCAGGTATCATCCCCGTGGTCAGCCAGGAATATGCTGTTGGGTTAGTCGGGAGTGGGGATTTGTCTAGAACTAAGCAAGTATGCTGGGTGGAATGGCTTCCCTGCCTAGATGAGCAGGGGAGAGAACCCCTGAGATGAACCCCTGATTCTCTCAGCGATGGGCCCTGAGAGAAGCCAGGAGAGACAGGAAATTGAGGTGGGGGTGTGAATGCAAGCCCAAGTGGTTCTGAGGCATCCAGCTTAGCAGAACTGGGGCAGCCCCCAGGCCTTGGACCTTGGCTGAAGGGTAGGAACAGAGGAGAAGATGCTGTGGGCCGAGGCCCAGGGCTCTGCTTCTGCATAAAACTCTGCAGCAGACCCTGGATGTCTCAGAGCCTCCAAACCCTCATTTATAAAATGAGCATCATAATCCCTACCTCCATTGGAGCTGCTATGAAGACTCTTGGGTACATGGGAAACACTCAATGGGGTTAATTTTTCTTCTCCTTTTCCTTTAGATATGGGGCAGAGATGAAGGAGTTAAGGTTCTGCAGGTCATTTAAGAGAGCTGAGATTTGGGGAATGTGGACAGTGGTGATATTCAGAATATTTAACCACCTGTACAGGTTGGGCACCAACCAGTCAGAATGACAGCTGGCCCAAACCATCAACCCAGGGAGGAGGGCACAGCTGAGCAGAACTTGTCCCTGTGTCTTTCTGCCCCGTCATGAGTCCGTTTATCAGCAAGCATACAGACATCCCTTGAGGGCAGCTCCTGAGGAGGTTGCAGGATGCAGGATCCTGAGATCTTTGCATTCAAGCAAGTCAGGCGTGCTTAGCATGGCGCACCCTGCCTGACCTGAAAGAGGACCTGGAAGCAGAGGGCAGTGAGCTGAGGGCCTTCCCAGCTCCTGCCCCAAGCTGGCAGCAGACCTGCCACCAGGCTCTGAGGAAGAGCTGCTTCTGTGGGCTCTCGCCATCCTCATGTCCCCTAGAGCTGCCCCTCCTTCCTGTCCCTTCTTCTCAGAAGCACCGTGGGTCAGGATTAGAGGGTCTGTTTGTGCTCTGATCTAACTCCTCATGCCTGTTTCTTAATCAGCCAGGGGAAGTTCATGGTTTCTGTTACCTGACTGTGGAGTATGGAGTGTCGTGTTGGGGTAGTGTGGAGCCATGTTCTGTCATCGTGGAAAGATTCTGACCTCAAGGCAGGCAGCATCTTCTCCCAGCCCCAGGCTTTCCGAGGCCACACCTGGACATGTGGTGCACTTAGCCAACACTGACTCCTTTTACCTGGCCTATCTCTTTGCCTTGTTAGGTGAAATTAATGGCTTTGAGGGCCTAAGGTGGTCTGGTTAAGTGACAAGGGCATAGGAAGACACAACCCTACCTAGCTGGAAGTCAGAGATTTGGACTCTAGCCCACTTTTCCACTGAGTGGTCTTGGGCAAGCCACCTCCTTTACTGGACCCAGAAAAGTAGCATTGAGCTAGTGCAGTAGTTTACACCTGTAATCCCAGTAACTGGGGAGGCTGAGGTAGGAGGCTCTTTTGAGGCCAAGAGTTTGAGAACAGCCTGAGTTTGAGAACAGTGAGACGCTATTCTTAAAAAATGAAAAAATTAGCCGAGTGTGGTGGCATGCATCCATAGTTCTGGCTACCTGGGAAGCTGAGGCAGGAGGATCCCTTGAGCCCAGTAGTTCCAAGGCTGCAGTGATCGCACTACTGCACTCTTACCTGGATGACAGAGCAAGATCCTATTTCTTAAAAAAGAAAGAGAAAGAGAAAAAAGAAAAGGAGCATTGAATAGGATGGTATCTGAGGTCCCTTTTAGCCCCTGCATTTTTTCATCTGGGAGTTCTTCCTGCTGCTTCTACTCTGTTACCTGCCAGTAACCCCTGCTCCCAGCCCCCTGGCTTACAGGAAACACAATTAGCTTTGTCCTGTTCAAGCTGGCCTGGGATGCAAGGAGGCACCATTACCTAGAGGCTACAAAAATGAAAACCCAGCTCACTGCTGGCAAGGGGCATGGGGCTGGGCAGTGACCTGTCCTGGAGCAAGACTTGGGCAGAGAACATGAGTCTCACCTAGGTGCACTCCCAGTCTCTAATCTGGATGCTTTTGTCCTTTCTTCTACTTCTCTTTGCTCTGAATGGTGTTTGCCTTGGTGGCTTTGTTTGCTCAGGTGGCCCTCAAGGTGGGTTTGCAGTGTTCTCCTTGGGACTTGCCCCATTCCACTTCCTTAGGCCAGAACCTTTAGACTCAAAAGCTCCAATCCCTGAGAAGCAACCATGGGGGAAACACTACTTTTTGGTGCTGACCCCTCTCCGAAGCACCCCAGCTAGGCGGCTCTTCCACTGGTACAGCTGATACATGGATGTGGGCTCAGCATCTTATATGACTGGCGTGACCTTGGGCCAGCTCCTTAGCTTCTCTGATCCCCTATTTCCTTATTTCTAACATGAAGATAACCACACCTTTCTCATAAAGTTGCAGTGAGGCATAGAAATAACACAGATAAAGTACCTCGAAATGATGTTCTGTCTTACCTCCTAGTGCCAGCTGTACCCAGAGGCTTCAAAGGCCACAGACATAAACGCTTAACTTTCCTGACCTCTTGCCTTTGAGTTTCAGGACTGCCCTGCTGGGGAAGTGCTGAGACAACCTTGGAGGAGCGCCTCCCCCCAGCCCACTGCCCCTCTTTCCCCAGGGGGCAGAAATACCTAATTTCAGCCCTAATAATACCTGAATGAGATTTATAGGACACCTTCCTCCCCAGAGTGCAAAGCTTCTCACATATTATTTCTCTTATCTTTAGATTGTCCTGTGAAGTGAAGTATGATCGGACAGCCTCTTTTCAGCTTTTATGAAAATGGAGACAGAGGAATTGTGGCTCTTGCCAAGGTCACAGGATTGGAACACAGAGCCAAGCCACCCCAGGACATGCAAGAGCCTCAGAAGGGAAAAAGCCCAGCAGGAAGGGAGAACAAGTAGCCTCTGTTCTGAGGTTGTAACAGCCAGGGACCAGGATGGAGGAGGAGGACTCCGTAATCCTGCCCATCTGGGACTTGGCAGGGGACCTGGGAAAATGTACCCCAATCCATCCCTCAAGGGCCTTTGCCTTTGGCCCATTGGCCTAGCATCTCCTTCTTCACTATGTCTGTTCTTGTCAGATCTGTTTGGGTCTGAGGTGCATGGAACATTCTGGGTAGGCCTCCAGCAAACGGAAGCTCTTCACCGTGTTTCCAGCCTAGGACCAAGAGCAGCACACTGGCAAAGTTGCCAAAGCAAGGGACTCCAGCCTGCTAGGAGTTAACGACTCCCTCTCCCCAGCTGTCCTCCCCTTGGTGCTCCTCTTCCTCCCTCCTCCTGCTCACAGCAGGCAGGGCCTGGACCCGGGAGCCATGCTGCTGTGCTGTTGCCAGGGGAGTCCGGAGGCAGATCTGAGCTATGCAGGGAAAAGGCCCGGCCTGTCAAAGTGTCTGAGATGAACCGCCGCCGTCCCTGTGCAGCTGGGCTCAGACGTGTCTCAGCTCTTGTTCTGTGCCTGAGAATGGCGAAACCCAGTGAGGTTCAAGGGCAAACTCGCTATTCATTAGTCAGGGGTTCTTGACGTCCCGTCTCTCCCAGGGATGGGTTCCCCCCCTTCCTCTTTCTCCCCCTCCTATGACACATTCCTGGGTGCCTTTGGTGAGGACTGCACACCCTCCTCCTGCCTAGCCCCCTTTCCAAGGGCCTCTGAATAAACTCCCCCCAAGGAGACCAGGCAGGGTAGAGACAATGGCTGCAGGAAATCATTCAGGCGGGACATGCTGGCCTGCCCTCCACCCAGTCCCCCTGTGGGCCCCACTCCCTTCTGATTCAGGGCACCCTTGGGCCCCTAGCCTATACAGGCCTGGATAGGAAGAAGCCACTAGGAACAACCCTGAGGACATCATGTTAGTCCAGTGCCATTCTCCGCTGGCTCTGTGGGTGCCTTTGTGGCCTGCACCAACTGGCAGGCTAATTTTGTGGTTTCTGTACCATCACATGCCTATTTCAAGACACTCTCAAGCACTGTCAGTTGGGGAGTGTAAATTCTACAATATTTTCTGAAATGTGGCAATATCAAAATGTAAAAGGCAAATATACTTGGTCACAAAAATGGCACTGTTTACTCTGTGGGCATATTTGTAAAAGTTCCCAAAGAATTACATACAAGGATGTTCATCAGAGCATTTCTTTTGAAGAGTGTAAAGAAATGGACATGAACCTATGGTCTGTTCATACTGTGGAATACCTATGCAGCTGTAAAAATCAGTGTGGTAGATCTCCGTATATGAGTTGATGTGGAAGGTTGGCCAGTTCACATGATAAGGTGAATAGAATAAGTTACAGAACAGGCTGTGGAGTATGATCTTATTTGTAGATGTTTAAAAGTGAGTCATAAGTATGCTTATATACGGAAGTATGTACTGGAAGGCTACCTCTAGGGAGTGGGCATGGGGGAATGCACTCTTCTATACTGTTCTGTTTTCTTTTCGTGCTCCTAAGATACTTTTATTGAAAGATGTAAAGGGTTGTTCAGTATAATAGGCTTAACTTCTATCAACTAACTTGGCGTGGGTGCTTTAAGAGGGTGGTAGTGATGTTACTGGAGAAAGTATCCCACAATTACTGGTGGCTTCAGCCATGGGCCATTTTGGGGCCTAATAATCACATATCATCATGGTTGCTAGTGTTAATCGAAAACCTACTAAGTGCCAGGCTTACTGTCTCTGGGTCTTGCTTACGTGGGTATCATTATTCCAGTTTCACCAAATCAAAAGAAGTTAATTGGTTTGTTGCAGCTCCTCTGCAGGTGAGGGGCAGAGCCAGGAGCTTGGCTAGGGACAGGGGAGGTGGGTGGGGGATGGTGGCTAGATCTTGGCTCTCAGTTTCTTTCCATGCAGACATTGCCCCTCTGCCCTGAGGACCTGCTTGTTTGGGGGAGGAGGCCTTTGGAGGCACCGGGGTCATGCCAGGTGTTGGACATGGTGAACTGGGAAGTGTTCCCATTTGGCCATAGCCCAAAAGTATCACCGTGCTGGGGGGTGGGGAACAGGGCTGTGAATGGGCCTATTTGCATAAGCAGCATGTGTGGAGAGAAAGACATCGCAGAGCAGAAGAGGTGTGGGTGCCCAGTAGGGCAATTGCCACCCCTACTTCATCCCTGAAAGAGTAAATGGCCTGGAAAGTGTCTCCAAGAGGTAATGCTGCACACTACCCTCCCTGGTGGCACTGGGTCAGGTTACACCTGCCTTAGGTCGGTGGCTGCAGCAGCCTGCAGAGCTCTCAGTAGTGCCTCAGTAGCCTGGGAGGGAGTAGGGGCAGGGGGCAGGAAGAGGCATAATGGGGCTGTCCAGAGGGGTCTGGGAAACCTGGTCCCTGAGGCCTGGGCACAGCTACAGTCACTTCAGATTGGCTGTGGGGCCAGTGGACTGGGAAGGAAAAAAGCATTAAGAGTGACCAAGTGCAGAAGGCTGTCAGGTCCCAGGTCACATGCCTTAGTGCAGTGACTCCTCATCATTTTGTGGTGTGTGGGTGTCATTGGTACACCCATTTTGCAGATGAGGACACTGAGGCCCAGAAAAGTTAAGTTACATGTCCTAAGTCACACAGCTTGTAAGTGCCAGAACTGAGATCAAAACCAAGTCTCTTTGACTTTGAAGTCTGTACTTTGACTCCAAAGACATCCTGTTTCGTTTGGCCACTTATAGGAGGTCCCTAAAGCTGCAGACTCCCCTTGCCAGTGCCCACATATAGAGACATTAACCCCTGCCCTGCAGGGTCACCTCAAATAATCTTTTAGCTGGGCTTCTCCCACAGTTCCACCTAATGCCATCCCCTGGGTTTTGCCCAAACCTGGACTGGGCAGCGGGGTGAGAGGAGGGGTTTACAGGGTTACAGAGCCTCATACAGATTGGAGCCCATGGCTGCTGGTCATCTGTATCCCTGCAGGATTGGCTGTTCCTTGGGGTCCTTGGCAGGAAGATGAGGATGCTCCCGAGACCTGCTCCAGTGCTTGCCAGAGGCTGGCCTGGTGGCCTCTGGAAAGACTGAGGCTGGAGAGGCAGAAGTAGGAGAGCAGCAATGGCACTCAGGTAGCTTGAATCACCAGGACCCTTCCAAGCCCCACAGGTCCTCCTGAGGGAGTACTAGGGCATCCTCTGGGAGAGGTCTCTTCCTATGCTGTGAACCCCCTGCCTTTCTTGCAACCTACAATGAATAAATTTTCTTTGCAAAGCTTTCCATGTCTCTGGTCAGTTTTTCTAGGAGGACATGAGTGAGGAAAGTAGCACTCTGCCACCAGCAAAAACAACTCTTCATGTCTTGGGGTGTGGTGGGGACCCTGGTATGGGTGCAAAGGATGGAGCAAGAAGTCTTACAAGGCTTAGAAATCTGTCTTCTTGACCTGAGCTAGGGTCACTTGGGCAAGAAGAGAAGGTTATGGCCAGTGCAAGGCCCACCTTGCCTTGAGGGTGCCCTGCCCTCAGGAGAGGGGTCCTGGAGGTTCTAGATTGGGAGCTAGCCCCCACACTCCTCCTCAACTTCCATCAGTGTCTTCTCATGTAATTCTCACAATGACTCCGTAAGACTGAATTTTATATTATAGACTAGGAAACAGAGGCTCAGAGAGACTAAGAAATAGGCAAAGCCACACAGCTGGGAAGCAGTGGAGTTGGCCTCCAGATCTCATCTCTGTGACCAGAATGGGATGGGGGGGGGTGCGGGGGTGGTGAGTCTCTTGAAAGCCCCTGGTAAGTTTTCTCATGTATGAGCTAATTCACAACCCTGCTTTCATCACAGCATTCATTCTCACAAGGCTTTTGGACTGCAGAGAATAATCAAGACTTACTGTGCCAGGCACTATTCTAAGTGCTAGTTTGTGTCTTAAATCGTGGCTTAATCTTCACATCTGTGTGCATAGCTGGGCACTATCCTTATTCCTATTTAACCAAGAACGAGAGTGAGGCCAAGTTGGCCATCCAAAGTGGCCCGTGTGGCTCCGTGTGTGGTGGAGGAGGGGGGATTGCAGCCAGGATGCCAGCACACTCACGTTTGTCTGTCCAGATGCCAGGCACTTAACTGCACACACTGCCTCCCTAAAAGCCCCATCAACCTAACCCGGGCCCACGACCCCAAATGAAACATCTTTCACCCGCCCCCCAGTAGCCCGGGCCGCGTTTAACCACTGGTAGGGCGGAACCACTGGCCGGCAGGCGGCGCTCCCCGGAGCTCCCGGCTCGAGCCCCAGGGCACCGGGAGGAGCCAGGACCCCGAGCGGGAGAGAGACGACTGGGGGGCGCGCGGCACAAAGAGCTTTTTATTCAAATTTGTTTAGAGTTTCGCGAATTTGCATGAAAAATGTGTGAGAAAAGCCAGCTCCGGTGACCTCATCCGCACCTGCCATTAACGTTCAATTAGCGGCTGAATAGCGGCCGCCGACACGACGTGCAAAGAATCCGGCCTGCCCCGGGCAGCGAGGGCGGCGGGCCTGGCCCAAGAGGGTGGGACCGAGGGAGGGGGACGCGGCGTAGCACCCCGGCCTACTCCTCTGGCCCGGAGACCCAGGACCTCGTCCTCACTCCAACTCTCCGAGGGAACGCGGGGATCTCAGGACCCTCGAGCACAACATTGCTTGGGGCGCGCCGGGACCCTTAGGATGCCCCGCTCCCTCTGGGAGTAGAAAGGGGCGGGCTTGCCCCCTACCCAGGACGGAAGGTGGCCGGACGAGCCCCGTCCCAGCTCAGATGGGCTTCCCCGCCACCTTCCGGACAAAGTGTCAAATACAAGTTCAAGTTCAGGGCCAGGCCCGAGGGGCGCTGAGCCTTACCCGGCCGCCTTTGTTCTCTGGGATAATCGCTCCCACGTCCCCTCCCGGGCGGGGCCCAGAAAAGACCCCCGCCCCGCCCCGCCGCGCCCCGCAGGAGCCTCCTCCTCCCGCCGGCGCGGCGCCTGTCCCCTGGTCCCGGCGTCGCCGCTCGGTACCACCGAAGGATCTAGGGGCTCGGGCCGGCGTGGAGGGAGGGGGGCTGCGGAGGGGAGTGGAGGCGCGATACGAGCCCGTGGGAGCCTCCCCAGCCCCTCAGTCCCAGCGGCAAACTGTGCTTGGTCGGACGGATGCCCGCGCGGAGGTAAGAGCCCTTTGCGGGTTTCGCCGGTATCCCTGTGCCCCGCCCCCCGCCAGGGACTCTGCGGGCCCCAAGGAGCGGGGCGGAGGATGGTGTGCTGAAAACCTGCTGGGCAGCCCCGCTGGGCCTCCGGTGGGATGGGGAGTGCACTGTCGCTCCAGGGCTCTGGGGAGTACCAGGCCTGGGCAGTGGGTATGGAGGGCAAGTGCGCCCAGCCGAGGCCCGGTAAGATCGCTGGCCTTTCCCAAAGTCGTTTGGCTCACCCATCTCTCCCGGTTAGCTTCTTGGTCTCCCCTTCTGTGTTTCTGACTCTGGCGCTTCCTTGGCTCCTCTCAAATTTGGGCTGGAGGGGATCCTAGTTAGAATGTAGCTCCCCAGGTCCTGAGGCCCCTCCTAAAGAGCCGGACATGTGTGTGTGGCTCAGCTGTTAGGGGAATCAACTGTGCCCACTCACTCCCCCATCCCATTCCCAGAGCCTAAAATAAAGTCCTGGGCCAAATGGTGGTTGCTGGGGTCGGGTGGGCTAGGCTGGGCAGTGACTTAGTGGCAGTGCAAGGACCATACGAGTTCTTTTGTGTGTGCGGGGGGACCTCTTGCTGTCCCTGCATGCCTCGTTCCTGGATTCCGTGCGGTGACAGGTGTTAGCTTGTACCTAGCTTATACCTCATCCCGCTGCCCCAGTGCACTCCCAAGCTGAAAGGGCACAGGGGGCTTTTTCTGAGTGGCCCAAATCTTGTCCCCTATACCTGCCTTTCACTCTCAGGTGCTTGCTTTGAGGTCATTTTTGTATCCGTGCTTTACATACAGTTCTAACATCCACAATATTTGGCTTCTAAATTCACAGCAAGTTAGAAGTAACAAATTAGAAAGGGGAAGAAGGTCTTTTCCCTGCAGCTATACTGCTGTCCTTGTGTGTTCCTTCCCCTCTTCTCTATGTAGTCCTGGGATTTCTCACTTCTGGGATTTGACTCATGCTGAAGCGCCAGCCTACCCGAGTACATTTCTTCCCAACTCCAATTGGCCAAATTTTGTCGGGTGCCTCCTCCTCCAGGAGGCCTACCCAGATTTTCTTCACATCTCTCCCTCTCTTGACACCTTCAGCAGAGGGTCAGCTGCATATCTGAGTATTTAGTAAATACTCAATAAATGAAGTCATTTCTGGATGAATGAATAAGAAAACATACATACACATAAATCTAACAAGCATTGAGATGGTCAAATTTTTGTTTTTAATATTGATTCAAATATAACAGCTCCCAGGGGCTCCTCTCCTCTGTTCCATCACATGTGAAGTCTCTCACTTGCAAGAAAGAACCAGCCTGAAAACGCTGGTTCTGTGTGCTCTGTTAAAAAAAGAAAGGAGAAAAATTCTATGCAAATTGCTTTAAAATTTAAAAAAGAAGAAGAAATGCCAGAAGGGATCCCCTCAGCCTCTGTGCAGCTCTGCTCTTCATCTGACGGGGGTCCCCAGAGGGCCTAGAGGAGCTAACGTTTCATGAACTGCACACGACTTGGGACCCTTCTGCAAGGTCTCAGTGGAACCACCAGAAACTTGACTAAAAATGGAGACTGACCTACCTAGTGTGTGCGTTTAGATTCCCGATGATTCATCACTGACACGCTGATGTCAGAGGAGCCTGGGAAGATGTTTACATCTTTTTTAAAAAGGGAAAACGGAACGTTTTTCTGCAAAACCATCTGTAAAACCATCTGTAAAGGCTGCTCTAGACTCTTCCTCTTCCTCATGGGCAGTTCCGGCCTGAGCTCTCGGACAAACCACTATTTTTCTCCTGTAGGTTCCCTAACTTGGATGGGTAAAATGAGGACATTTAAGGCAGCCACAGTTGGCAAGGGGTGGTATAAATACTACTCTGCAGTAGACTGAGAGAACAATAATTTATTTATATATTAACTCATTTAGTCCTCCCAACTAAAGGAGATGGCTCCCTTTTATAGAAGGGGAAACTGAGGTGTGAAGAGGTTAAGTAACTTGCCTTCAGTCTCACATCCAGAAGAAGGTCCAGTAGGCTTTATACTTGGCAGGAAGGGTTAGACTCACTGTGCTTTACTATGCTACCGACTTTGTAGCTTTGCTCCTAAGGTAGTGGCTAAATGCCTCCTCTCCCAAGTCATATTTCATGTGGATTTCCTTGCTTTCCTTATCACCCAGAGACAGAAAGGAGTCAGGGGTTGGGGGGCAGTGAACAGCCCCCTTTGGAGTCTTTAGTTTAAATTCTGGCTCTCTCCCTTACATACCATGTGACTTTTGTCAAATCTCCATATCCTCATCTGTAAAATGGATTTGCAAATTGATCTCATCTCATGGACTTGTGAGGATGAAAGATGATGCTAGGTTTGGCCCATGGCCTGAGTCATAAATGTATCCTTGAATGACAGCCATTATTACCATCAATCACCTCTAATGACAATGTTACTGTCACTATGCATTTTCAGAAAACAATGCCCCTCCCTACTCCGAAAAGAAAATACAACACCAATACATCTCCACATGCTTTAACCAAGCAGCTGAGGGGTGCCAGGACTGTGGAATGACAGCAGCTTCATTCTGTACGCAGATAATTCAAACTCTCAGTAGGTCATGTGGACTCCCAATGTCTTAAATACAGACCCTTGAAACCATGTCTCTCCTGGGCTCTCAGCACTTAGAAAGGTGTGAGTGTGTGAGCGGGGGCGGAGAGGGGGAGGGGTTGAAAGGCCCTGTGGATAATTGAGAGAATTAGAGGCCAAGATGACTCTTAAGGAGAGAAATCTGAAGCATGTTCTTTTTTACTTTCTTAGCCATAAACTCTGACTATTACCTATTGATGAGGAAAATAAATTAAGACTAGACCCTGCTTTTCATCTGACGGGGTCTCTAGAGGGCCTAGAGGAGCTAACGTTTCATGAACTGCACATGACTTGGGACCCCTCCGCAAGGTCTCAGTGGAGCCACCAGAAACTTGACTAAAAATGGAGACTGACCTACGTAGTGCGTATAATAGCTATAATAGATCTAGTCAGTGGAATGCTTCTGCCTCCTTTCATGTAATTTATATTTATTTTTTAATTCAGTGTTTATTCTGTGCCAGACATTGTTTTAGGCACTGGGGATACAGCAGAGAACAAAACAGAAAAGCCCCTGCCCTCAGGGAGCTGACGTGTGTGTGTGTGTGTGTGTGTGTGTGTGTGTGTGTGTGTGTGAACAAAAACATCAGAAACTCTGTGCTGTGCCTCCCTCTGACAGGATCCCTCATGAGTGGGACTGGTCAGCTTGGTCTCCCTCATTCTCTCACCCCTTAAAGCCAAGGACACATGTTTTCACACAGCTGTCTCCACTTGGGGGTATTATTAAGAAGAGAGACAGAGACAGGCTCAATTTCTCTCCATATCCAAAAATAGGTAACAGGCCGAGGTAAAAAGTTTATTCAGGCAAGGTACCCGTCAAGCAGGCAACACACCGGTGCCTGCCTTCTTCATCCCATTCCTGACCAGATACTGGATCCAGGGAAGGCTGAAATCCTGGCATTGGAACAGGGGTAGAATTGGTGACAGTCCATGGCATAAACCAAGAGGACTGGGAAGGGACAAGTCTGTATCCAGGGGTGTGGGCAAATCATATTAATAGCTAGCCTGTGCCAGTTAATCCTCCCCAGGACCTCTGATTTAGAGATGAGGAAATTGAGGCACAGAGAGACTGAGTAAAGTGACCCAAGGCCACATAGCTATTCCTTGCAGATCGGGGGCAGATTTGAACCCAGGGAGCTGGCTCCAGGGTCTGTGTGCCTTATCCCACTATCAAGCTATTTATTTGACCAAATTTCAGAAAGAAGTGTGTGCTTCTTTTGGGTGAAACTCATTCTCCAAGTATCCTTAGAAGTCTGCAAGGAGTTCTTTGTAGCCACCCCCCCCCCCCAACACACACACACTTCTTAGAGGCCCAGGTTAGAGATGTTAGGAACCTTCTTTTATAAGCCCCCTCGCTTGGCAGATGAGGAAACAAGCAGATGGAGAAGGACTTGCTGGAGGCTATTATCAAAGTGGACACTAGAATCGTAATCTCTTAGCAGAGCTCACACTGGGGCTGCGTGTCAAGGTCTTGGGGAGAAGAGCTGCTTACCTTACTGGAGCCTCTTCAAGGGCCTAGCTACTTCTACTGCCAGCAGAGTAAAACACCTGCCTGCTCTGAAAAGAAGTCCCAGATAGTTTCTAAAGGCCTTAGTGGACTCGAGGTACCATGGTGTCCAATTAGAGAGCCAATGGGCCTTATATCTGGTCCTTGGAGACCTGTCCTTGTCCTTGTGGAGCACTGCCCATGCTCTGGGCATGCCCTTGGTAGGATATAGTTTCCTGCCAATTTAGGGAGCTTTACTCCATCCTTGAGCCAGGGGCCATGGAAGCCACATTTGTTGCCCTTCCCACTCTTGGTATATACCTTGCACAGAAGTGGGGACTCAATGACAGTGGCATTCAATTGAATGTCTTCACCTCTTGGTGCCAAGTCAGGTCCGCATATTATCCCTTAAGGCTGCCTGAAAGATGCCCCCGTCCTCCTTGGAATTGTGTGGGGAGGGTCAAGGACCACCACCCTGGACTTGGAATCAGAATGCCAGGAGGAATCCTGGCTCTACCTCTCCTTGCTAGGAGATCTCCAGGTAACCCAGATTCATTCTTTGAGCTTCTACTTCCTGAAGGAAGCTGACAGTGCCTCCTTGGGAGGCCTGGCAAGTGGGGGGGATTATAGGAGATGCTGCGTGTAAAGGTACTTTGCAAAGGGTGAGGTGGGTGGAAGATCCTGCTTACCCAATCACATGCTTACCTAATCCCTGCCTTGTTAGGTCCTGGGTCAGAGAAATCTCAGTCCTTTCATTACAAACCAAGAGAGAGGATGGAGGATTAGGGGAAAGAGGGCAGGGTTGGGCTTCCTCCAAGTTTCCCCAGAGAGGCTCCATCTTGAAGGTTACCACCATCCTACCCCATGGAGGGGGTTGCTGCAGTGAGGAGGG